AATTATATACTCTCCGGTATAAACTTCCTCTATGAAGCAGTGATTCAAGTGATCTGGGTCTCTCTATGAATTGATATTTTTGAAGAGCAATTTATTTTTATTGGAAAATAAAATTTACAGAGAGAAAGAGGAACAGGGATATTCCATCTGTTGGTTTATTCCCCAAGCAGCCTCAATGGCTGGAGTTGAGCCAATCCACAGCCAGAAACCAGGAGCTTCTTCTAGGTCTCCAACATGGGGCTCAGGGTCCCAAAGCTTTTGTCCATCCTCTACTCTTTCCAAGACCGCAAGCAGAGAAGCTGGATGGAAAGTGGAATAGCCAGAACAGGAACCAGAGCCTATATGGGATCCTGGTGCTCAAAGGGAGAGGATTAACCAATTGAGTCATTGCACTGGGCCTATGAATTTACTTTTCAATAATGACAATGATCTCTATACTACCCAAAGGTATGAGGTTAAATCTGATTGAAGACGCAGTATGGTATCCTAATCTTAATATATTTACTACATAATGCCCAAAATAAACCCTTGTTAAGGTCACTGTGGTTGGAAATCCTGGAAGTGATTTTTATGGCAAAACTACATTTTCAGTATCTGAGCATTTCATTGACTCCAAATGATCAGGTTGGGGCAGGGCGAAGGGAGAATTTGTATTCCACAGCTTCATTCAGTCCTCAGGTCATCTTGCTTGCTCAGCAACAGGATGATCAAAGTCGTAAAGAAAGGCTAAAAGTCTTCTATCTGGAGCTCTGTTCATTAGTATTTGAAAAACAGCCTTTGGGATTATTCTGATTTCTTACCAGGCATAAAGCAGAGAGCAGTGTCATCAAGATATTTGAATTCATAATCACATTTTCGGTTTCTTTGGTGGAAATTCAACAAATATGCACTGTAAGATATTTCCTTTCTATTTTGCTTCTTTCTTTCTTTTCTCCCACCAGTTTTTGTGCAAACCTTAGTCTTTATTTCTCTGAGGTCTATCATCAGGAGTTTAATGGCAGAATCACAGGGTAATTAAATACTAACTTTTAAGAGAACTGCCAAATTATTGATGATGTGGACCATTGGATGTCATTAAGCCTCAGTAAAATACCCGTTTGTATCTTTTATTGATACAATTGTGTTTTTTGACTTCATTCTTTTGCCTCTGAGAATTCATCATAGATCCTAGATACTGGTCTTTATATTAGATATGGAACTTACAGATTTTTCTCTCAGTGTAGTTTTTCTTCTCATATATTTCACATTTATTTTTATAAAACAAAGGTTTTTAATTTTGAAGTTTCTAAATTATTATTTTTAAATGTTATTGATCATCCATGTGGAGTAAAGTCTAAGTGCCCTGCTTCAACCTGGATTTTAAAGATTATCTACTTCTCTCTAAAAGTTTCAGAATACTACGTTTTAAATTAATGTTCAGTTTTGGGTTAATTTTATATGAGATGTGAGGTTTAAATCAAATTCATTTTCTTGTTTCTGGATGTCCTACACTGTTTCTTGAAAAGCTATCTTTGCATCAGAGTGCCATGTGATACAACCAGATTAAGTGGCTGATTTCAACTCCAGCATCCCATATTGGATTGCCAGTTTCATTTGTAGCTACTATGCCTCTGATGTAATTCATGGATACTGGCTTTACTTTGTTCCCATTTTCCCTCCTCAGTTTTTAATGTCTGAAATATTTCCCACATATATTAAGTGTGTGTGTGTGTGTGTGTGTGTGTGTGTGTGTGTGTGTGTGTGCGCGTGCGCAGAGGACAAAGAAAAAAAAAGGACAGAGTTATCTGTTGGTTCACCCTCTATTCCCACAATGCTGAGACTGGGTTGAGCCAAAACTGTAAACTGGGAACTCAGTCCAGGCCTGCCATAAGGCAGGAATCCATCAACTTGAGCGAATATACCTGCAACCCAGAGTCTGCATTGGTAGTAGCTTGAGTCAGGTTTCAGACATGGAAATCAAATCCAAGCATTGTGAGATGGGAGGCAGGCACCTGAATTGTTAGGTCAAATTCTCTTCGCTTTACAATTTTATATGAATAAAGAAAGCAGAGGATGATTGTTATTCTAGCACTGCATGGTTTATCCTGAAAGAAAATAGTGTGTCTTTAGCAGGGAAATAATGGGTGCAAAGCGGATGTAGATTTTCTCAAATATGTGCTACAGGAAGGCATTGCTGGCTCCCCAGGTGCTGAGTCTGCCCAGTATTCGTTACAGGCTCACTGGGGCTTGGGTTTTTTACTTTCTAGAATGTTTATTATTTTTTAAATAAGAAAACAACTGTAATTAATTAAAATAAAAGAATGGAAACATTTTGTAAGTTTTGTATTTTTGTAACTGGAAATGATGTTTTGCTTTTATTGATACAAATATAAATATATATAATTAATACCATTTTCTTCAAATTAGCATGCTTGAGTACTTATTCTTTAATCTCCGAAAACTATGAACAACATAGTAATACACTGTGATTGAATCAGGGCTCACATATTGAGATAGAACTGCTCCAGTCCTTAAGGAATGCATCTCTGTGGGGGAAAGGAGACTAGGAGACTGACACTTTCTGCCTGCCATTTACTAATGAGACCAAGCAAAGGTGACCAACATGAGGGCTGGGAGTGCTAATTGTGCTTTTTCTTATCATGCACACACACACACACACACACAGATACATATCACAGACACACAGACATGCCTATCATTTTAAAAAGTGGCCAGGCTCATGCAGGAATACCCCCAAACAATTGTACTTTACTTTTGTGAGATAGGAAGCCCTTTTCTGTGAACTTTGTGGGAAGGACCTGAAGAAAGTGATTCTCTTGGGGGATTTGGTAGAGGATCTCCAGCTAGATTTATTCCAGCTTTTTGTCTTCTTGTGTAGATAGTAGAGATGAGCATGAAAGCTGGATTTGGGGGATGGCATGGCAGTATAGCAAGCTAATTCTCAGCCTGCAGCACCAGCACTCAATATGAAAGCCATTCTTGCTTGGTTGTCCCATTTTGATCTAGCTTCCTGCTTAAGGCCTAGGAAAACAGTGCGAGTGGCCAAGTTCTTGGGCCCCTGGACCCATATAAGACACCTGGTGGAAGCTTCTGGCTCCTCATTTCAGATCAGTTCAGCTCCAGCCATTGTGCTATTTAGAGAACACACCAGTATTCTTTTCTGCAAACCAACACCTTGTGCAAACATCAGGAAATAGAACATTATTGTCTGTCCTTCTCTCTGTGGAATCTGCCTCTCAAATGAAAACAAATGAATCTTTAAAATTAAAAAAAAAAACAGGATGAACTGAAAGCCAAAGCAATAGTACACACTCAGATGTCAGAGTGGGCAGCCTCATTGGGAGTATACTCCATCACAGTTCAGCTGCCCCCCTTTATCACGGAATGAATGGTGCCCTATACAAATAGGATAAACTTTAAGTGGCCATCAGTGCACATAATAATCTCTGGGAAGGTGTCATGACATCTCCATTTGGAAGTCAGTATGCACTTGTTCATCATCATGACTTCTTGTGCAATGCAGGAAGCTTGACTGCCTTTGTGAAACTGGGTGTGTAGAACTGGCATGGAAGGGGATGGCATTTTTAACAGTGCAGGGTTAAAGCAGAGCCTGCTCGGATCCTCTTAGCTCTTTGTTCCCACTGACTCCCAATCTAGTACGCATTGTTTCTACTTCTCCTCTGTCCAAAGACACACATGTCTATCAGCACATACTCACTGGTTGACTTGAATGAATTTAATAGAAGCTCATGTCATCAACCTGGTATACTCATCAACCAGGAAGAAACTGGAAAGAACTTATAAGGTCTTTGCTTTATGAATTTTTTTTTCAGTCTCTTATTGGAAAGTAAGTCTCAGCATGGAAGATACTATAGACTGGTCTACAGATGCTATAGACTAAAATGGTTCCAAAATAGAAGTTAATAATCCTATTCACTTGTTCCTTAGAAAAGATCCAGGTAACGTGCTTCATACAGCTACAGGAAGCCACCCCCTGCTTGAAGTGTTAGTGCAGGCAGCCAGCCTTCTCTGCTTTTGTTTTACCTGGCTACCATTTTATAAATGTGTTTGTTACAATGGGGTGGATTTGTGCTAAAGTTGTCCTTTTAAGTAGCATTTGCGTGGTCCTTCTCTTTTGATTCCATTATCCAAGATGAACTCAGTCTGGTGAAGTCATTTGCCAGGAACTCAAAATTTGATCTTAGGAACAAACCAACTTTACAGAAAAGGTCCTGTGTCCTACTAATCTGATTAGCATGAGTGCAGCTTTCACACTTCTAAAACAAATTTGTGTCCTGATTCCAAAATTGGAGCTATTTAAAAATGTTCTTATTTCCTGCTGTTTGCACAAGGTGTTGGTTTGCAGAAAAGAATACTCTTCTTTCCTCTATTAAGACAATCAGCTAGCCCTACAGTTGACATTTCTCTTTTTCCTAACATCTTTCCTTTGCCCAGAATAGAAATCTATGAAAATGTGGAAGAGAAACTTGCTAGATTCTGGTAGATTCGTAGGCCTCGCATCTCTTCAAATCCTATGAAATCCTCTCACAACCTCTTCTTAGACAGCCAGCATTCACTCACCCAGAAAGTTCTGTGATTATTACAATAATGCAGATGAGAAAGGATGGGAGGAGTGCAGAGAATGCGGCTATGAAGAGACAGATCACCTGCTTTCAGCAGGTGCAAACAGAAGCCAAATAATTTTCACCTGCCCCCAACCCCACCAGGCTGAATATTCTATGTGCTGTTTTACCATATAGATTCACAAAACCTCATACAAACCAGTAGGCATTGTCACATCACACTTATAATTAATTTTAAAGTTGTTGAGTAAAAGTGGATAATGGAAACAGGAGGCCAAAGGAGTTGAGGATTGTACATGACTAAAAAGGGAGCTTACTGCAACCAAGGAGAAGAAACTGATCACTCTTAATTGCTGTAGTCCTGCTGGTGACCTCTGGCCAGGACTGCTTGCTAACTGGTGTCTCTTTCTGCCACAGGACAGTTTCCCTGCTCGCTTTGGAGGAGTCCATTTTGTCAACCAGCCATGGTACATTCACGCGCTGTACACACTCATCAAGCCATTCCTTAAAGACAAGACCAGGAAACGGGTAATGAAAATACATATGTCATGCAAATTCCAGATGGACCATAAAGACCTCCCTTGTCTCCCTTTTCTTCATTTCCTTGCCTACCTTACCTCTCACCATGGGTTTTTCTGCAACCCTTAAGCATTTGAACCTCAGCTGGCACTTGCAAGTGTCCTAGATTTATTCAGTAATTTGGTAAAACTGAATTATATCTAAGAGTCCCAGTGACCAACTGAGAGAAACTTTGAAGGCATGTAAATAGCAGATGCTCCTTGCACTGTAAATGCTTATGGGAAGTACAGTGTCAACCATTTCCTGCTCAAGAGCTGCTCAAGTGGCTACAACAGGGGCTTGGCCAGCTGAAGCCAGGCACACAGGACTCCTTCCTTGTTCTCACACACGGGTGACAGGGACCCAAGTATATGGGTTGTCTGCTACTGTTTTTTCAGATGAATTAGCAGGGAGCTACATCAGAAGCAGTGCAGTTGGGATTCAAGCCAACACTCTAATATGGGTTTTTGGCATTTCAAGCTAAGGCTTAGCCCGCTGTGTCAAAATGTTGTACCATTGCCATAAGAGTGTTTATAGTCTTTCCCCCATGACTCTTAGGGAGTGACTTCTGTATCATCACCTGTCAGACTGGGAAAACATTCTTTGCTGGAAATAGCAATGCTTACATGAAAAGTCATTTAAAATCTTGTACTATTAGGTGGCAGTTGAAAAACTGGGAGTTAGGCTTTTATGGTCTTCTGATTAGCTGAGTAATTAAAAATTCCTTAACTTCTCTGAATTTGTTTCCTCACTGGCAATAAAGCAAAGTGAAATCTAACTCACAGAGTTGTTGGGGTAACCTGAAGAGATGACCAAGGACAGCATGTAGCACAATGCCTCTTATGAAACAGAGACTCTGTGGCTTTCACTTCTGTTTGCCATGTAGTTCTTTGGAAATATTTAGCTGTTTATTTTTTGACTTATTTGAAAGGCAAAGTGATCAGAGATAGGGAGCGAGAGGGAGTGATTCCATGAGTTTGGCTGCTTTCAGATTCTACATATCAGTGGGTTCATGCAGTATTTGTCTTTTCGTGCCTGGCTTATTTCACTCAGTGTAAGGTTCAGGTTCATTCATGTTGTTGCAAATACAAGATCTCCTTTCCTAAAGCTGGATTATATTCTATTTCATCTTTATTCATCCACCAAAAACATGTAGCTCTTTCTATATTGTGGCTGTGGGAAATAGTGCTGCTGCCTACTGATGTCAGCCACCTGTTGGGTCAGGAGCAGCATTCATCAAAGTGCATATGAGAGCATCATTCTAACAAAATTTACATATGCCTACACCTGAAGGACTCTACCAGGACAGACTTCTGATTATTCAAGGGGAGTGATGATGAAAGGGATACCCCCTATCAACACAAACACACTTGCAGGATCCTGAATTCCTAGACTTTGGATGCATTTAGGTGCTTATTCCAGTACAGGATGGAAAGGATAGTGTCTTTCTCTCATCTCTGCTCAGAACAGAGCCAGTGGAAATTCCACCACAATAGACCTTACTACTATGCCAAAGAAGTGAGTCTATGAGCCTTGTCGTTGGGGAGGAATCAGACCCATGGAAGGATGGTTGGGCTTCCTACTTCCTACTTCTGTGCTGTTTGATCCTATAGGACTCCAAGTGGTTTCAATGGCACTCCTAGGTTTTTAAGAATGTAGGCTGGATGGATACAGATGTTTGCTCTAAGCATCCAGAACAACACTTCAAACACTGTGTTGTCTTGTGAAGAGCTTTGTAAAAGTCAGAGGAAATGAATTTATTCAAAGAACATCATTCTTATTAAATCCTTGTCATTTGTAACTCCAATATCAGAAATTGCACATTATTTTCTGAAGAGCTACAATATTCTTAAGACTTTAATATTTGGCTTCTTTCTCCCACCATCTATAGATGATATCATCACATCATAATTTAAAAATAATATAGAATATAGGACAAAGTAGTATGTGTTTGTTTAGTCTTGAGTTGCTATATTTAAGTGTTTTTTAAAGTCACATTTAATTTCATTCTGGTGTGTGTGTCAGAAAGAGAGAGACAGAGGAGGAGAAAGAGATGGATATATGTAACTGATGCTCATATACTTGTGCTCAACTTATGCATTTTGCAATTAATTTGTGTATGATACATGTGTTGCATATAATTATGTGACTACTTCAGCATAACAAAGTGTGAGAACTGGATTCATACAAGCACATTTTAAATCAACTTTCATGGTCAGTTTTTAACTTTCAGTTAGTGATAACTTCCTGCTTGTGCTTTATCCATTTTGGAAACTGTCTAAAATGATTGAAATTTAGGAGTGTTTTCCTACCCAATTTGACCAGTTTGCAATACTATCTATTACATGATCAGAAAATAAAACCTTTTTGAGTACTGGCCCCAATCCAGGCACAATGGAGGGTTGATGCGAACTTCTCACAATACATTCTCTGGCCAGCTTTCAATTCTAATGAATGGAAGTTGATTAACTGCTATCTCATATCCACACCACTTTGGGAGCTAAGGAACCTATTAAAGGAATAAGAAAATACCACCTCCTTCCCCAGATGTCTCTCCCTAGGGAAGCAATTCATGATTGAATACATCGGGGCAAGAAGAGTAGTCAACAGATGACAGTTCATTGGAAAGGGGGCGAGGATTATCAGAGCTGGCAGGTGTCACAAGGCTGGGTTAGGAAGCAGCTCTAGTTTGGTCTAGAGTGGCAAGGATAAGAAGGACTATGGAGTAAGAACAAAGAAAGTGAAAGTGATAGTAGAAAGAGAACAAGTCTGAGCGTGTGAATGAGGCTCAGTCTGGGTTCTGGATGGTCTGTATCACTGCTTTTGTCAGTTAGGAGATGTCTCTATATGTAAAGCTGGGCCATGGCCAAATAATACCCAATGTATTCAAAAAATTCATTTTTAATGACTATTCACTCAGTCTTTCTGAGCAATAAATTAACAGCTTATGAAAACTAAGCTACGGACATCAGCTGAATGCCTCTTTATGCCTCATGATCACCAGTACTGCATCCAATGTGTCATTGCAAGATTGTGGGTTATATTAAATACATGATCATATGTTTCAGATATCCTATTAGTAACATTGCTTTCTCTTTATAGATTTTTCTTCATGGAAATAATTTAAACAGCCTTCACCAGCTAATACACCCTGAGTTTTTGCCCTCTGAATTTGGAGGAACCCTTCCTCCTTATGACATGGGCACCTGGGCTCGGACATTGCTTGGTCCTGACTACAGTGATGAGAATGACTATACTCACACGTCATATAACGCAATGCACGTGAAACATACATCCTCCAATCTGGAGAGGGAGTGCTCGCCCAAGCCAATGAAAAGGTAAGACCAAGGTTATCAGCACCTGCCAGCTGGAGATAAATAAATTAGGACCAACTGGGGGTTAGGTAATGGAATAGAGCAAATTGCAACATTCTCAGCTGATTTCATGTGAATTGAAAGTAAATAGGGGTTAGATGGCCCAGAAATATAGTTGTCCCTGTGGCATTAGAGGAATAGTTTAAGATCAGGGCCTTGTGCATGTTCTGATTAGCCATGGTGTCTATTAATACACAAGGGAGGGTGGGCTTTCTAGCATCACTAGATGCAAAGCAGCCTGCTAGAAAATGCATCTGTCATTCATTCGTTCAGAACTGTTTGTCAAGCTGTAGCGTACATTAGAAAGTGGGGGAACCACTTTCAGTATAAATAAGACACCAAAAGAACAGAAAGACTTTTGGCAAAGTATTCTCAAAAACAGGTGGCACTGAAGCTGAGCTCTGAGGGAAAGAGATCAACAACTAGAGCTTTAAAAGCAGGACCAGGGCAGGCATTTGGCATAGCAGTTGATGCTTCATGGGATGCCCGCATCCCATACTGGAGAACCTGACTCTGCTCCTGCTATTCCATCATAACAGGTTGTGGATTAAGTGCTTGAATCCATTCCATCAACCAGGTGAGACATGGATTAGTTTCTGTGCTCTTGACCTGTGGCTGGAACTGGAGGGGACTAGATACTCACTTACTATCCTTTTAGGGGTTGACCTTCACTGGGAATTGTTGATCATGGTGGTTAAAAGGTTGGCTTGTGCCTCTAAGGCGAAGAGACTGACATATAAGAGAGATTGGAGGATCACAGCCCTGACCTACTCTCAGTTCAGGCAACAAATACTGATGCCTCACAGTTATGAATCTCATACCTATATTACCTCTTTGAATCCTCTCATAATCATGAGAAAAGTGCTTTGTTTGTCTCATCTCTGGGGAAACTGAAGTTCAGAGAAGTTAAATGCCAACTAATATCAGAGGGTTTTCACACTGAGCAGTCTGGCTCTGGCCTCTGTGTTCTTCACGTCCACAGAAGGCAACATCACCTGTGTGCTTTTTCTCAGACTTTCTACTGAGACCCCCTCTCTTCTCAATGTCTCCATGTGCAGGGCCGGTGACATCTCAGGCAGCATGCCTATTTAGAGACCTGAGGATATGACCTTCATATAAGTCTGCACTCCCAAAATCAAGTGATATATAATAGAAATTTGCCCCATTTGCCACAGGGGACCTCGCAATGCATACCATCTTATTATTTAAGTATTGAATATGTCCTAATTCCAAGTCTGAGTTGATGTTAAAAAACTGTATCATATAATACAATGTTATCAACTAGAAAAAAAGTTAGATGGATGGAGATCTCTATTATCACAGAATGTCTTTCCCTCCAGTGATCCAGCCCTATATCAATACACGACAGACACCAAGCTGACACCTGCCAGTGTTTGCTGAATATATGAATGAATTAAAATAGGATAAAATCTATTACTTCCAAACTTATCTTTGATGCAGTTGTCCAATTGCTTCAACCAGTTGGTTAGCTTCCCCAAGGAAAAAGCCAATTTGCCTTGCCCATGCTATCTTCAGTAAGACTCCCATGGATCCACTTTTAGGCTCTTACATTAATAAGAGGCAAGAGAAAAAACACCCACAGTTAGCTACAGAATAATGTGGGATGGGAATAATACTATCAAGGAGAGGTGAGGACTTGTGCTGGTGTTCTGGGGAAGCATGGTTAATTTCAGCTGAAAAGAACCTCCTAGGAGCACCTACAGAGGAAGGTATGGTTTGTGAAGGAGTAACACTTTCCCTTAGATATGGGAGTCAAAACCCTATGTTACACAGCCAGAAATAGAGATGTGTGCATCTCTATTTTTCCACTAAAGGCCATCAAACTGTCCTGCCTACCCTGTTGCCTGTTGTGATGGCACCCTGCCACCCTGGTCTGGGGATTTGTGGCAGCAACAGTAGGGACAGTACTGCCAGTGATGAGGGATAGCCCTGGGCTTGTGGTTTGTCTGCTATCAGTCACTTCACTGATGAATAGTTCATAACATCTTTTTGACCTTTTCAAACCTATAAAGACCTGGAAAAATTGAGAACCAAATTGGAAGAGACCTAAAAGTTCATTTCTCTAGGTTCCTGCCTGGTAGAGTGGTCAGTTCTCCTGCACAGGCTGTCAACCAGCCTTAACTTGCACCTTCCAGAGCCTGATAGATGGTGTATGGGGGCTGCAAGTTGGTCATCATCAGAAAAGGACTTGCTACTCTGACCTGAGCAACAGTGATCTGTCCTCTGAATCTTCACTATTATTTTCAGTGGGCGCGTTATTGTCCTCTATGGTGCTAATGCTGCCATACATAATTCCCAACTGCTGCGGGTCCCATTTGGAGTCAAATGGACTTTTGTGGACTGCTCGTGAGACTTAATCAGTTTTTAGGATATGGATTCTGAGCACATTAGTCACTAAGTTACAGGGAGCTGCTGTGGCAAGCCTTTACTGTGCAGGGTAAATGCCATGATGTCTGAGATTCAGTGAACAGATGCTTCTAAAAAGTTATTGGCTTTCCAGGTAATTGTGACTCCACCCTTCATCTGAAAAGCTTTTTGTAAAATTATGGGTCTAGATAAAAATGTTTCTAGGACTATTTTAGTATTGTTCTATCCTTTAATGCTGTCACAGCCTTATGTGTTTTGTGGTGTGATGGCATTCTCTGCTCCACTTCTAAAGAATATAGAGGGGGCTTTTTAAATATTTTACTGTTTCTTTTTTCATTTTATATTAGAATTCCATTTCCTTGTGCTCGTGTCATCAGTTGACCTTACTGTTTTTAAAAGCCCCATATTCCCTTCTATCAAATTTCCTTACTTGAATATGCTTTAGGCTTAGAGAATAAGGGCCCACATTTATTAAAATTATGTGACAAAGAGCATTAAATTAGCTTTGTATAAGTTACACTTATTTTATTGCAAATAAGAGAAAAACTTCTAAAAAAAACTGCTTTAAACACATGAAAAAAATTGTGCTATTGAAACTAATAAGCCATCTCCAATTAAAGTGGCTGTATGAGTCTTATTCCCGAGGTTCAATGGGGACCATGAGAACCCAATCCCTGTACTCGAAGTGTCCAGCACAATTGGTGAATACTTAAGACAACCCCTGATTCAAATGTGGAGGTCAGGCTTGAGCAAAATGAGCTTTGCCATTAGCAAGGAGGGAGGAATAGTTTGGGCAGGGAACAGCATCTATATAACAGGCCTACTTAGGAATACAGGCCTGAAACTTCTGCCTTCTAAAGTAAGTGCACAGACTTTTAATCAACGTGTAGATTCTATGATATTTGTCTTAATTATTAGGTAATGCTTTTTGATGTTTTTATTCTGAACTTTATTGCTGATAAAATAATTAAAATGGCCATGGATATCATTGAAAAGGTATACACACACACACACACACACACACACACACACACCACAGCAAGAGAGAGAGAAAGAGAGACTATGTTAAAGTGAGTGGCAAATGCTTAGGCACCACTGCAGAGGTTTTCATAATCTATTATCTAAGTTGACTTTTGCTGTTATAACAAGGTACCTGCGGTTTGGTAAATTAGAAAAAACAACAATTTATTTCTTAGAAAACAGGTTTAATTCTGACCATCTTGGTGTCTGGAAAGTCCAAAAGCACAGGTCCAACCTTGAGTGAGGGCCTTCTTTAGCATCGTTGCCTGGGGGAGAGGCCTGCCTGGAGAGAAGGCATCCTCCTGAGACACTGTGAGCGGGCGGCTGCATCAAGGAGTCCAGGAAGTGAAGCTTGCTTTCACAACACAGCCGCTCCCAGCATCATTCATTCTGAAAGCAGGCTGCATCCTGCTCTTAAAGATCCCGTACAATGGCAATTACATTGAACATGAGTTTTAGAGAAGACTTTGCATGTATATCTGTATATATACATGTATATGCTGAGTCTTCAAAATGTTAATAGAAACTGTATATTATGAAAAATCTACACACGGATTTCAAATGTGTGTTACAACAAACATATCATTTAGCTCAAATTTCGGCTTTTTAAAATACTTGTTACTTTACGCGAAAGATTGCTAGAGGAGGGGATGGTGAGGAAGGGATGGAAAGCAAGCTGACATGGGCATTGGGATTGGGTCAGGGTGAAGCCAGGAGCAAAGAACTCCATCCAGATCTTCTAAATGAGGGACAGGAACCCAAGTACTTGTTTCATCACCTGCTGCCTCCCAGTCACATTAGCAGGAAGCTTGATTCAAAGAAGTAGTGAGACTCCAGCATGTGTTCAAAACAGCAGCTTAACCTGCTGTGCCATGGTGTCCACTCTGTCCATTTTTCATAATTTCTTATGTGTCTTTGTATATTATTTGATATTACAGGTTACAAGCTCCTTTAAGTGGTTTTGTTCACAGCAAGGAACTTGATCCATCCCCTGGAGTTGGAGCCCTCTAAAGCAGAGAAAACACTGGTTGGGACACCCATGTCCCATGTTGAAGTATTAATTTCCACACTCAGTTCCAGTTTTTGAATCTAGTTTCCTGTCAGTGCAGACCCTGGGCAAGAGCAGACGATGCTCAAGTAGCTGGATCTCTGCCACATATGAGGAAGAGCTGGGTTGAGTTTCCAGCTCCTGTCTTTGGTCCACCCAGGTCCAACCCAACACTGACATATCAGGGATAGGTCAGGGATGGAAGTTTTTCTTGTTTGTCTTTGGTTCTTGAATAAATAAATGAATAAGCAAGTTAAATTTAGCTTGTTTACCAAGAGGTAGGGAGTCGTGTCAGTGTTTATTAGATTCATTCAACACTCAGGAGAAGAAAGATACAATTGACCCCCTGAAAGCAAGTTCAAGATCACAAACTACTCTCAGATACATTTTTGTTTGTTTTATTAGTTTTTTTCATCTTAGTTGTGCTTGATGGAAGTTACTTGCAATGGAGTTAATGATACCAGAAAAATAGAAAAACACATTTCCCGCTATTTCTGGGCAATATTAA